CTATTTGTGTATTTATTGTCAAACTTTTGTTCTTTGTATTAAAGTGTGCGTACGCACATTACAGTTAATTCAAATTTGGTGTCATTTAGTGCAGTGCGTGTATGATGAATGTGTTCGTTCCCTTATTTATAAATTCTCTATGGTTCTTAGATGTCCAATTGTTATTGGCCTGAGATCATTGTCGTCTTGTAACGATAACCATCTTAATGATTTCCAATGCCTTTATGGCCCGTGAAAAGAACCCACAACAAGTGTGATCTATATAGTTTAAGTTATACGAGTCACTGTTTGGCATTCCCATTCGCTTTGTATGAATTATTTCAGATTTAATACAAATATATATATAGACCTCTTGACAGTGCCAAATACAAATGGTACATAAATTGTGGAAATATAGTAGTAAGGGTAAAAAGTCAGATGGCTGTCAATCGGCCATCTTTAACCAGATTTTGAAACAAATTGTCATGGACATGCATCCTAACATGTATAATCTATGTACCAAGTTTGAATGACAACTGACACAGCATGTCCAAAATACATCATTTTTAAAAAACAAGAGGGCTGCCAGTCGGCTATTTTGAATTGAATCGCTAAACCACTGCATGTGCATATGTCCCACATAAAGTACTAGGCACATGCAAAGAATGAACGGAATCGGTCCAAGGGATGTCCAAAATACAACATTTTAAAAAAACAAGATGGCTGCCAGTCGGCCATTTTGAATTGAATTGCTAAACCACTGCATGTGCATATGTCCCACATAAAAGGTACTAGGCACATGCAAAGAATGAACGGAATTGGTCCACAGGATTCTGAAATATGACTCTGGATAGACCGAGGGACGGACGAACAGACTCAGTAACTCACGGACGGTCGGGGACATGTATCCTGACATGTATGATCTATGTACTGAATTTGAATGAAAACTGACAAAGCATGTTCAAAATACGGCATTTTCAAAAAACAAGATGTCTGCTAGTCGGCTATCTTTGATTCAATTGTGAAATAAATCGTCATGAACATGTATCCTAACATGTTTAATCTATGTACCAAGTTTGAATGAAAACTGACACAGCATGTCCAAAATACATCATTTTTAAAAAACAAGAGGGCTGCCAGTCGGCTATTTTGAATTGAATCGCTAAACCACTGCATGTGCATATGTCCCACATAAAGTACTAGGCACATGCAAAGAATGAACGAAATCGGTCCAAGGGATTCTGAGATATGACTCCGGACAGACGCACGGACGGACGGACGGAGACCAAATTAAAATTCCCTGTTTTCGGACTTCGTCCGAACGGGGACTAATTAATTAACCAACACAGGGTTTGTCTAGTTTAGATAACCAATCTTATTTTCATTTTGTTTCAGAATTATTTTCGTTTGAACAACGCTTGTTAAAATGAGGAAACGAATGAAAGAACTTATAGTTACAGGAAATGGTTACTTTTGGTGCAACCTTTGTGGCAAGAAATCCAATAAGAAATCTGTGTTATTGGCTCATATGAAAAAACACAATGTAGATGAACAGCGACCAATCAAGTGCAAAGAGTGTGGGATTTCATTTATCTCAAATGCAAAGCTGGTTATCCATGTAAGAATACACACCGGTGAAAAACCATATAAGTGTGAAAGTTGTGATTGGAGATTCGTCCAGAAAGGCAATCTTACAAAACACAAAGAGAGATGCAAGTCCATCAAAAGGAAAGCTAAAAACCCAAAACGTGATGAAGTGGTTGCTCGGTGCGAAAAATGTGGTAAAGGCTTCAAGTACAAGTTCAACCTTAAGAATCATATGAAGATACACAATAGAGAGAAAACACACAAATGTAAGTTGTGCTCCATGGAGTATTCACAAGAAGCTTCTCTCGAGAAACACGTACAGGACTGTCATGCCACTAAAAAAGTCAATGATTGTAAGAGTGATGGTACCGGACTGATCAATGGATATTATTGGTGTAAAAGGTGTGGGAAAAAATTTAGAACTAAAGATGCATTGAGTGCTCACTTGAAATCAACGATAGGGGAAAGACCAAGCATGTGTGCAGAATGTGGGAAAAGATGTCCACACCGTGCAGCCCTTGTTTTACACATCAGATCCCATACACATGAATGCCCATATGTATGTTATGTATGTGAGCACGGCTTTAACCAAAAATCTGACATGCATAAACATATAAACGCAAAACATCCGGGGTATAAACTGACATTGGAAAGTCCACAGCAAACACAACACTTGGAGTCAAAGCCTCACAAATGTGATATTTGTTCCAAGGAATATGTGTTAAAAAAATGCCTCCTAAACCATATCACATCAGCACATCCAGAAAAAGAATCTTCTCAGGAGAGCAATATCAGAAGCCACACAGTTGAAAAAATTGGTGAAAATCCAGTAGTGAAAGGAGGTGCTGGAACGGCAAGACTTCGTGGTTACTTTTGGTGTCGAAGGTGTGGAATGAAATTCAGAAAAGAGACTGCCTTGAAATCTCATTTGAAATCTAATGAGGATGAACGGCCAACAGTTTGTAAGGAATGTTGTAAAGTTTGTCATTTCCCAGGAAACCTGGTTGTACATATTAGATCACATACTGGTGAACGTCCTTTTAAGTGTGACCAGTGCACACAAAGTTTCTCTCAGACTGTCAACTTGAAAAGACATCAGTTAAGTTTTCACAAACCAAATGGAAATACTGCTTCAAAAAAATACACCTGCAAAAAATGTGGAAAGCATTTCACGTCCTGGTCAAATCTGTTATTTCATTCAAAATCCCACAATAATGAAACCAAAAAGCATGTTAAGCGACCTTATGTGATCAAGAGTGCAAAGAAAAATCAACAATCTCACCCTGACGTGAATGAGAGCGTCAAGCAACAGCAGCATTCTCAGCCACTTCCTAGTCCCTCCAACAATGCTGAAGAACAAGCATGCGAGTATTGTGGCAAGAAATTCTCACAAAGGAGCAATCTCCGTGCTCACAGGCGAATACATACTGGTGAGAAACCATACAAGTGTGATGTCTGCGGGATGTGCTTCTCCCAGAGTGGTAATCTAAGATACCATGCCCGACGACAACATCCTGGACAGAATCCCTGTGGCTGCACACAGTGTGGTAAAAAGTTTGACAACTTTTTTTTACTCAGTTTACATAAAAAGAAAGTCCATGGTGCATTGAAACTTAAAACTAATCAGCTGAAGTCATCAATTTCCCATAGCTGTGAAATATGTGGGAGAACATTTAAATGGTTACGGCACTTAGCAAGACACAAACAGGCGTTCCATATGAACAAGTCATCTCGCAAATTGAAAGTGAAACCGCAACAGTCTCCAGAAAAACTGGTTGCTCAAGATAGACCCTACAAATGCACTGAATGTGAGAGAGATTTTGTGTTAGGTGCTCATCTCGCATGGCATAGACTTAACAAGCATCAATCTAATAACGTGCACCAGAAGGAAACACCACAAAGTGTTGTTGAAAAAAACCTAAGACCAAGACGGTTGAAGTCTTTGGGGCATAAACAAAAAGCCAGTAATAATTGTGATATGTGTGGGAAGACTTTTCAATTTCATGGTCATCTGTTATGGCATAAAGAAACAGAACACAATGAGTATACATCTCTCAATCACACACAAAAAAGCCCAAGTACGCCAACCGAAGATGGGTTCCCGTGCGACAACTGTGATAAAAAGTTTGCGTTGAAATGCCACTTAGTGAAACATTTACAAAGCATCCACAAAAGAACCAAACTAGATAAAAAGCTTCTAAAGCGCAGGTCATTTACAATGCTTAAGAATTATGAATGTGATTGGTGCTGGAAAACTTTTCGGCATAAGTACCTTCTCATCCAGCATAAGGAAATGCACCACAGCCAAATAGAACCCAATGCTGTGGTTACAAGTCCAGGCCATCAATGTAAAAAATGTGGGAAGAGTTTCATAAAGGAAGGCAACTTGCTGAGGCATCGACTCAACTGTGGTGAAAGGCCATTTGTATGTTTACAGTGTGGGAAAGCATTTATAATTGAAAGCAATCTACAGCAGCATATTGAAACATGGCATGCCAAGAAACCCCCTCTAGTCAATTGTCATTCGCGGACATCATTGTATCAGAAAGTATTCAAGTGTAATCTGTGTGACTACTCATCCTGGCAGAAGGGTAACTTTGACAGACACATGGAGACTCACAATCACAGTTGCCAACAGCCTATTGACAGCTATCCCACACAATCAGAACTTGAATCGCATATTTCAATGCACAAAATCAACATGCAGGAAGTTACAACTGAAACAAATTCCAATGACTTCCATTTGATGTACGCCGACGCTGATGCCGGTGATCTTCATGACAACAATACTTCTGTAGCTGGTGTAAATGTACATTTTGAAAATTTGTTTGACATTGTCAGAGATGATCAAGGAGGACAGTTAATTCGCATGAAGTTCAGATTGTAAACTGATATTGTTAATTTCTCTGCCATTTAGAGTGATTTACGGAGACCAAACGGCGGTGTATTAGATTATGATAGTGGCTAGGATTATAAGACTCGGATATCTATATTTAGTGATATGCAATGAAGGTCTTGTAGTCTTGTGAGTTCTAAGTGAAAGAAGTCGTCAATCAAACAGTTTATTCAGTGATTTTACAGAACACTGTGGATGTTTGAATAATTTTGATTGCATAAACAGATTATTACCGTATTCAAACGTGCAAATACAAGCTTTGCAAATAAGTAAGTACACAGACTAGCACATTTTCTTTTGGTATGTTTTAGAAATGTACATTTGCTGAGCAATTTGGTGATCGCCTTGCAGTTCTCACGAGATCTTCATCACACATCACCCCACTTGCATACCCTTGTCTTATGAATCCTTGTAATTATAACTAAAATATAAAAGCATTAATTTAACATGTATATACTTTACCTGTATTTTTGTATATTGTGTGCATAGCCACTGGAAGTGACTTCTATTGATCTTTTGGGGTTTACAAGATTTTAATTTGATTTACCAGTGAAAATAGCAAAATTAAAAGCCATTGAAATGTTAATATGTTAAAGGGTGGTGGTCGCCGCGCCGCGTCCTGTTCGATATGGGACTCGTAGCGACGTATACAACGTGTTTAAAATACTTTGTTTATTTACATGAAATTCAACATGTGTTGCGCAACGATCACCGCCCTTCAACAGTATTTATCAGAATCAGGTACCGGTATAAGTATTTAGCTGCCATAAGAGTATATGTACTTTCAGTGAAAAGGTGTGTGTGTATAGCAGACTTGTCTAAATGATGTACTATTTGTTCTATTTTACTTGTTTCCTAGGTGTTATCATCTGCCTTAATGGTAAATCATGATCTCGCCATAGGAATCAATGGTAAATCATGATCTCACCATAGGAATCAATGGTATATCATGATCTCACCATAGAAATCAATGGTAAATTATGATCTCACCATAGGAATTAATGGTAAATCATGATCTTGCCATAGGAATCAATGGTAAATCATAATCTCGCCATAGGAATCAATGGTAAATCATGTTCTCACCATAGGAAGCAGTGGGTAATCATCTCACCATTACCCAGTTTTATTATTTTACTTCCGCTCTGTTTGGCATCATTCGGTAAATTGTTCTTCCAAAATTGTGCTGGTATGGATTTTTATTTTAAAATTGTCATTCAATTTTATTTAGATTAGAAAAGTGAATTTTTAATTTGTTATAAATTTGAACAAACTTGGATAAGAAGATGGGCTTGGGGGTGTCACTATTTTAAGTAACATATTGATAACCTGAAATGTGTAAATATTCGTGACTTGTGTGGAAGTCTTTGTGGTCAGCCTGTTTCAATGAAACCTGCTTCATAGATGCTCTGGGTTAATTGACAGATCTGTTTAAAGTGGGATTGAAAGCTGTGCATATTAATTACCTATATTACCCATATATTGAGCTCTTCCACAGATATCCTGACTGCCAATCATCTGACTTTAATAAAAGTAGATCCATAAATGTTCTATGATGATCCACAGATGTGGTTGCCGGTAGTTTAGAATTGAATCTGTGAATATGAATTACCTAATTTGCATTACCCCCCCCCACCCCCTTTGTATCTCATTACCCGTTTACCAGATTTCAAATGAACTTGATCAAGGTGCACCAAGATGAAATATTTTTCTATTTTTTTTTATTTTTATAAAATTAATTCTGTGGAGCAGTTTGCTTTTCCATGATGTAGATCTCAACAAAGAGCAGAGGTATATCAGCTGAAATGCTATAAGAAATTTGTAATTAAAATATTCACCATTTATACTTTTATGCATGGTCTAAATATTTGTCTTAGTCTTCTGGGCCTTGGAGGCAACTATTATAACAATTGAGATCATTTTTAATTACTGCTTGTAAGCCAATATATATGTGTGCACTTTTTACATTGAAGCAAATGATTTACAAAATTGAGTGAAATGTGCTTAGAGGAGACTTGCGAAAATGCATGTTTACATAATGAAGACTCGAGATTAAAATACAATTGGTCAAAACAACGACAAATCCAAATTATGTTCTGGCTATGTGAAAGTTCTTTTTGTAAAGTGCAATCAATTTACTCTTGAATTGTGTATGAAAGATATCAGAGGTACATTACTTGGGGTTTGCAAGTAGTGTGACATGATACCAAGATCCTGTTTCAATCTCACTCTCGCATAAGCGTTCCAACTCGGAGCAATGCACATGCCCAAGGTATTTAGGATACTGGGATGTCCAGGTGGATCAAAATAGTTGCTCACGATATGATGAAATGCGAAAACTATATTTTCGATACATTTTCGATTTATCACATTTTTCACTATGATAGTGGTAAGACGTGTTTTATTACAAACCTTGAACATTGATATATGTAATATCAGAAGGTCATGGCATCAGTCTCCCTATCTACAAGATGAGACTTTAATGGGATCTTGACATGTCACCATACGGTACTATGCGCATTGCAAACCCAAAGTAATGCATCTCTGACAAAATGCATTAAGCATACATCTGGATCATTTAGCAACTTACAAGTTAACAGTACATGTGTGCTGGAACTGTACTAGAGAATGCTGTGCACAAAATTTAATTTCAAATCTAATCGTTTTTCTATATGAAAATAAATTTTAACAGTTAAGATAGCAATTAAGATATCTGTAATTGTGTTAACAAATTACGAAAGGTGATTAATTATTCATGAAATTAGGTAATGTCAGACGAAGCTGCAAGGTGCTTCAGTTTCACCACACAATGGTTTCTTGTCAGTTCTATTTTTAGTACATCCTGGTTTCCATGGAAACTAGTTTACTTTTTTGTACCCTGATCTAAAATGATTGGTAGTGTGTAAATTTATCAATTTTTATTGAAAGGGCAACTCCGGTTAATCTCGCAGCAAAGTTGTCGCATGATTGTCTTGGGCAATCCACTGGAATTGACATTGTTTATTTTTGCACAATGAAATCTTTCATTGTTCAGAAAATTATTAAATTTAATACTAACTGTATATATCACTTGTCATATATTTAACTGTAAATTGTGCACTTCCATAATGCATTTGAGCAAGTTACAAACATACCTGCTACCGCTACCGGTACCAAGACAATACAGAAAATGCTCATATGAAAACAACTTTTGTGGGTAGAATGTGTATAATAGCTGCCAGTTAGTCACTTTAATGTAGTAATATTTTCTTGTGTATATTTCTTATCAATATCAGAGGTTAAATAAAATTCCTGTGGATCTTTCTTGGTGACAGCCATCTATTGAATTTTTTGTCTTGTGTTTTTGTTCGTCGAACATAGCCCAAAACCAGGAATTATATAATGGGTTCTGCATGTAAGGCAGTGTTTCTAAGACATGCCAGAAGTAATGATCGTCATCCACAGTTTCTCGGGTATGCCCGTGCTGATTACATTCATTAGTGGTGAGTTGTTGATGCATGTTTTGCTCTGTGGTTTGATTTGGGGGTGGGGGTACATTTTGATATTCAAAAAGCCAGTAGGGGCAGCTGTACATTTTGTCAATAGAGGCAACTCTACAGGAAGATACAGTGGAACTGTCCTATCGTACTAGATAATGGTTCATCAGTAGACAGCTCTACAGGTAGATACAGTGGAACTGTCCTGCCGTACTAGAGAATGGTTCATCAGTAGAGGCAACTCTACAGGAAGATACAGTGGGACTGTCCTGCCGTACTAGAGAATGGTTCATCAGTAGAGGCAACTCTACAGGAAGATACAGTGGAACTGTCCTACCGAACTAGAGAATGGTTCATCAGTAGAGGTAGCTCTACAGGAAGATACAGTGGAACTGTCCTATCGTACTAGATAATGGTTCATCAGTAGAGGCAACTCTACAGGAAGATACAGTGGAACTGTCCTGCTGTACTAGAGAATGGTTCATCAGTAGAGGTAGCTCTACAGGTAGATACAGTGGAACTGTACTATCGTACTGAAGAATGGCTTGTCAGTGAGACAGCTCTACAGGTAGATACAGTGGAACTGTCCTGCCGTACTAGAGAATGGTTAATCAGTAGAGGTAGCTCTACAGGAAGAATTGGGGCGTAGTGGCTTTTACATGGTAGATTTAGTAAGCACTGTACCAAATGAAATTCAGCCAATGAAAGTTTAAGCATTTGTTTGTTATACATTGTTCACTTGTCTGGAATAGTAGTTAGAAAACATTCATTAAATGAACATTTTATTGTTAATTTCACTTATCAGCGAAAGAAATCTCAGACTATCGTTGAATATTATATATACTGGTATTTGGTGATATTTGTTGTAAATCAAGGTCACAAGCTTTATTTAAAATTTCAATTTTTGTTTTCACTATGTGCATGCAACATTCAAACACCAATGCACACAAATTTGCTAGTCAATTAGCATTATTGCTTTCAGGTAAGTGTCCAGTACTTTGAATGCGACACAGATGAGGCTTTTGTCAGGTTGTGTATGAACACAAACAAATAATGTGCAACTATATATCATACAGACTTGGCAATACAAACTATACTTGATATCTCTCATCAAACAAACATCTCCAAGGGCTTATTATTGTGTCTCCATCGTCCCTATAAAACTCCACACCAAAATGTGTTTAACATATTACATTTGACTTCCATGTGTATATATGGGGAAACATGTTTTATACTGTTTTTTTTTTTTTAATTGTACAACAGAAATTCAAAAATACTGTTTATTGCAACCGATTTCCAAATGGCTGTAGTGGTTTACACATCAAAATGGTATTTTTCACATCAGACTTAATGGAAGAAATCATGTGGTGTGTTCAAATTTTAAAAACAGGCACTCCTTTGGAGGTACTAATAACTTTGAATAATTTCTGAGTTGTGCAATATTTAAATGTTCATTAAACAAGCAGCCTCTCGGCTGAGATAGCTCCGCTGTTAGCAATGCACATTTCAATTAAAGAACAGAAGATATATTAGAAAATGAACAATATGCATAGTATCAATGCAATGGGACTTGCTGTTTTCAACAAGAATTCAAAAATATCATTTTTCACCATAAATGATTGTGGTTTTTAACAAGAAGAAAATATCACTTTTTACCAAAAATGACAAAAATATTCACCAAAATTAGAAAATTAAAGATATCATCATGAAATGAACAAATTTGAGAGTGGTATATATGTAATATCAAAGCAATTGGACTTGCGGTTTTTATAAAGAAGTTGAAAGTATCACTTTCTACCAAAAATGACAAAAATATTCACCAAAATTAGAAAAATAAAGATATCATGAAATGAACAAATTTGAGTGGTCCACATGTAGGTACCTATATATGTAATATCAAAGCAATTGGACTTGCGGTTTCTAACAAGAAGTTGAAAATATCACTTTACCAAAAATGACAATATTCACCAAAATTAGAAAATTAAAGATATCATTATGAAATGAACAAATTTGAGAGTGGTGCACATGTAGTACCTATATATGTAATATCAAAGCAATTGGACTTGTGGTTTTTAACAAGAAGTCGAAAGTGTCACTTTTTACCAAAAATATTCACCAAAATTAGAGAATTGAAGATATGATCATGAAATGAACAAATCTGAGAGAGGTCTACCCAAGGTACATATACACCAAGTATCAAAGCATTCAGGCTTGTAGTTTTCAAGAAGTCGAATAAGTAAAACATTGACACGGACGACGACTGACAATCACTCATATGATAAGCTCCGCTCGACAGTGGAGCTAAAAATACAACGATATAAAGAGAGTATGTATAAAGCGTTTCTCATTGTTAATGGTTACATTATGCCTAGAAACTGCAATATTCAACAGAATACCTCAATCAACACTTTGGTTTAATGCTCGTATTCAATTTCAAATGGCTATAAACCGGATTGATTTTAAAATGTCAATGTAAATGTTGTCCCTCCCCAGAATTCACTCATACTACATGTATCCATAAATCTGAATGTGTAAAGCTATCATCTCTTGGCATTAATAGTGAAGGGGTAGGTATAGTTACTGGAACACCATATACATTCTAGGTTAGGTTACGCACTTTGCGGGTAAGAATCTGGAAGTATTCCCATATATAATTGTTCAGTCTACGACCCGATTCCCATTGACCACCTGATTTATTTATGCCACGATCACCTCTCTGTAAAACCACTGCAGTTTCAATCTTGACTATTTATCACAAAAATATAACATTGGGGGGGGGGGGGAGTCATCACCATGATGTATTATTGAACAGATGTTCGTAAATGTGGGATTTTTCATTACAATTCAGCTCATGTGCAAATTTCCCACAAGGTATTTCTTTGGAATATTTCCAGTCTGCTGCGGATTAGTGATGAAATTTAAATTAGATTTTATGCAAACACATGGTTCATTGGTGGCACTATTTGTATGCATCTTTTCTGCAGTTAGCGAAAAAAATGCATGTGATGTAAAATTTACACGAGTCAATATCTGATATTAACTAGGCGACATAGTGCAATAGATACACAACGATATGAAGGCTACTTCCGACTTGGGCTTGAGCACTCGAAAGCACTAAATGAAGAAAACTTGAAACAAGTTCCTTGTTTCAGGTATCCTTTTCATGTCATAGAAGACTTGGAAGGTACAATACTAGGAATAACAAGTCTTTTTGATATGCTTTGGGTGTAGGAACAGCAAACATACATGTACATACATAATTAAAACTGCTTGACAAATTAAATTTTTATGTGTGTGAAGTGCAGGTGGTAAAAAAAAAAAAACACTCAGGAATGAAAGCACTGAAGGAGTTTTATTAACCCTATTGAGTTCAAACCAGCTTCCAAAACGAATTCATTAAAAGAACACAAATAAATCTTGTAGTTTGGTTGTTATATTCTGTATTACAATCATTGATGAACTAAGATGATATCAAGCCACTCATAAACCACACACTGTTGTAGGACTCTGTAAGAAATAAAAAAAGTTGCATTTAGTTTCACAGTATGAAATTTTGCTGTGTTTATGTACGGTAGGTCCTTCACAATTATATAAAATATGGATTTGAAATAGATTGCCCGCTTATCTTTTTAAGTTCAATCCAATGTCAGTACTGCAAAGATTTTGACCAAAAGTTTATGAGGACTTTAATCTCATAAATCTGCTTTTGAGAAAGTCAAGCAGACATTCATTCTCTAATTTAAGTAAATATTTTTGTCCTTTCTGGTTAAAAAAAAATAATACTATTTTCGACATAATAAAGGTTAGCCAGTTGACTTTGATAATTTATGTGTAGGTTACCCAAAGTTGACCTTTCAAATTTGTACACGATAACTTCAATATTTTTTTACTTCAATTTTTCTTGAAAAATGCTTTGCTACATGAGCAGTACAGTTTAATGTAACTTAATATTTAGCTAGCTTAGCTTGTTTTCAAAATCACTACATATCTAACTTTTGTAATCTGAGTTGTTCATAATAAATCTGGCTGCGCTTCCTCCAACTTTTCAACAGTTTTAAGAACACTCAAAAGAACACAATTCACAAAAGTCAGAACACCTGCGACCACAATGTTCACCTTTAAAAATCAAAGAAAGCTTAGAAAGAACTCCTGCGTGCTGAGTGTATTGAAGCAATTTAAAATGAATCCAAAGTTTAATATTAGCTTTTCAAACAATAAGCTTAGTGATATTTGAGATGCACAACCAGAAGTATTGAAATTTATAATAGTCACCGAAAATTTTATTGTACATTTGTGGTTTGCAGCCTGATCTATTTAAAGACCACAAGTTAAATTCAAATATTATTTTTTTCAGATATCAGAAATTGGCTAATAAGATTTAGGTAGTCATTATGCATGGTTTTTAACTATATACTAATCACATCTGTTCTTATTTCAATCCAATCAAGTTTTATTGAAATGCAATAAATTTATAAGCAAATTTGGTAATTAGTATGTATACATTTTAACTTTAAACTAATCAGGCCTGTGCATTGTCTTGGGCATCTATGTACCAAGTTTCATTGAAATGTGATGATTAGTACTTGAGATATCTGTGGAAAATCTGAAAATGATTATTTTGCAAATTAGATAACTAATATGAACAGATTTTTAATCAACAAAATAGATAGAACATAGAAATGTCCTAATATAAACTGCACCATACCTTAACCCTTTTACAAACCCTAAACTATACAAACTTAAGTTTAAGTTAACTATTAATATAAATTATTTTTTCAGAGAACCATAAAAAGCGTTCTCGGACATTGTGCATTTCTTCAAAGGAAAGTACGTCTAGCACATACATACGTACAGACCAGGTAACTGTAAAGACTCCCCACTGTATGCTTCACACACACGAGTGAAAAACAATGATCAAAACATTCATTCACCAGTTTTGTAATGCGTATATCAATTGGTGAAACTCATGACAAGTCAATTTAAAAGAAGCTCTGAACAGACAGAAATCACAACTCAATTGGAATTTTCTGGATGGCAATTTATGTTACCTATATCATACTTGCTGAAATAAGAAACAGAAACAGGACATACCTTATACAACGTTATTTCTCTAGTGCTTTCAATAATGCTTCATGTAATTCCAGAGAAATTTGTGCTTCTGCTTTCGCAAGGTCTGTTGTAGATGACTGAAGATCCTGTTGAGCTTTAGAAAGACCTGTCTCAGCCGCCTACAGAAAGTAACAATGGAAGTATTGGTAGTACAAATAGCTTAGCTTCCACTAACCTATTACCAATGATGAACCTATTTTTTAGATTTAACTACATGTACACATACAAGAAATGATGTCACTTTTGCCACCAGACTAATTACTGAAAATATTTAATGTTTACTTCAGGAAACTGTTTACATCCATTAAATTTTAGAAACGGGAATACTAACCTGCCTATCAATTTGGTCTATTGGTGTTGCTTCTTCTGCTAGCAGCTGGACTGATGAGTCGTCATTGACTGTGATTGTACCACTACTTACTGTGAATAAAATATAAACACTGTCACTAATGAATAAATACTAAAAGCTTATACACTGAAATACTTGTGGCAGGGGTTCTTCCAGACAGGGGAACAGGGGCACAGCACCCCCATACCCCAGATTTAAACCCTCTTACCAAACCTGGAACAGTCAGTAGATTATGATCAGTTGTAACAAAGTTGTGCTCCCTCTTAAAATTTGTTTCTAGAATAACCCCTGTGCAAAAAACAGGATTAATATTCTTGACCATGTTATCCCATCATTGGAATCCACAACTCAACTTGGAAATGTGGTGGAACTAGTCTAGAGGTACATCAGAGCAGCTTATGTATACTAGGACTCGCATGACACGTTTTGACATTTTCCCTAAATCTGCTGTCAGGAAACACTAAGATAGCAAAATATATTTACTTTTACAAACTTTCTTTTGGAAGAGATTATTTCACTGGATAATTTTTTCCCTCAGATGATTTTGTCAGTCAAGCCAAACCAATTAATCATATGGATTACTACTAGTGATCATTAATTCCATCTTCATGTATTTTTACTAAACAGTGTATCAATTAAAGCATTAATTACAAGTGTACTGATTACTTACCAAAATATTTTTCTGTGTTGCCATCATTGTCATAAACCACAACACAACCAGGTCTAAGTACTGACAACACCGGTACATGTTGAGCTAGAATACCAAAGTCACCAGTTGTTGATGGCACATCAACTTGTTTCACATCGGCTTCATTATAATATACCTGGAAAGCAAGTGTGGTTTTTAAAATACCACAGAGCAATTATTAGGCTGATTTCAAACGCTGTGTCATTTTCACTGGAAAAAATTTTCATAATATCTGGATTTTATGGCATTTGTAAAAATGAGAGTCAATGACAATGTTGTAGAACCACAGAGAAATTCTCACAATATCTGGATTTTATGGCATTTGTAAAAATGAGAGTCAATGACAATGTTGTAGGACCACAGAGAAATTCTCACAATATCTGGATTTTATGGCATTTGTAAAAATTAGAGTCAATGACAATGTTGTAGAACCACAAGGAAATTCTCACAATATCTGGATTTTATGGCATTTGTAAAAATTAGAGTCAATGACAATGTTGTAGGACCACAAGGAAATTCTCACAATATCTGGATTTTATGGCATTTGTAAAAATTAGAGTCAATGACAATGTTGTAGAACCACAGAGAAATTCTCACAATATCTGGATTTTATGGCATTTGTAAAAATTAGAGTCAATGACACTCAATGTAGGACCAGAGAGAACTTTTCACTGCTACAAGAGTGCGAGATTCACTGACATACATATACAGTATGTGTACATGTATGCTATTGCTTAAGTATACAATGTACCTCACACTATGGAATATGTTTTTGAACAGTATGCATGTACAGGTTAGTAATGTGCATGCAGGTACAGTCAAGACCTGTGACCAACCAAGTTACTTTATTAAAATGGTCTTTATAGACAGGTGGTCTATATATGGAGGTTACATACAGTTTTTTTTATGGATTGCCAACTCGTACATTTACATACACCTAACTCTCGTACCTGGTAGGCAATTACCAAGGGACTTTGCAACATCCCTAGACACCTTCCTGAGTATCGGTATTTGATTAAGTGATAACAAAACACCGGGCAGGGTATGCCTTTGATGTGTGGGCACAAGGGACAGCGTAGTTGGAGTATTCTATTGCTTTGTAGGAAAAAAATCATTGTTGTGTAACACTTGGAAGAAATATAATACAAACATAAAATTAGGAATGAATATTAACAAGAAATGATAAATGTAAATTCTGTTGATTGATAGTTTGTTGAGATGTTGTCATTGAGCTTATACATGTATTAATAATATTAGCAATGTGAGTTTCTCACACTTATCACCCAGTCAATCTTTCCCTGGAATTTTCTTTTATTTCAACTCCATACCCACACCATATACCAGTTTCAAAAATCCTTCAGATCTGAGACTAAATTTGATAAATGATGTATGACTGTCGCTTTTCCTAACAGAACTGATGCAATGCGCCGGAGACTATTGCACTCGTTAGTCCTTGCCAATCGGTTGCATCCTATTTCCACCAAAGAGGAGGTGAATAATTTCCTTCTGAGTGTCTTCATTTACACGCTTTGACATAATTGCAATAATTGTATATATAGTCAACGATGAGTTCAAAATCAGAAACTGCATTCAAAACCAAACTGTTCCCATGATGGTAATTTAAGTAAATCCATTATATGTTAGGGGAATTTTCTTTTTATTAATTGTATCAACAAGGTTTATTATTTTCGTGAAACATTCAAAATATTAGATGAACGAGCATATGTATGCTTGAAATAACTGATAACAACAATGAATGAAACACTGTTTTACTGAAAGCTTATAGGATGTAATAGTTGAACCCATCTAAAACCTTGGTTTGATGTTTTGATTAACTGTCACATAGGCGGTAAGTAACTTTATTGCATCTACATTTTTTGTACAACCATCACTGCCAAGTGTCTAGGAAAATATCTAGGGATGTTGCAAAGTTAAGTTAGGTGTATGTAAATGTCTTGCGCCCACTGTAACAGAAATTCTAGAACACCCATTAAAGAATTGAAGATGGCCATGGTACAATCACCCATACTTAGACTGTACAATTCCACCAAACATGGGTAATCGATATTTTATTTTAATCTTTACCGTGTACATTTATTTTTAACAATGTTGGTGAATTTAAATCAGTTTGACAACATGTACAAAACTACACTCTTCACAGACCAACCAAAAAATGAAATTACTCAAGTTTAATTTAAACTATGAAACTAAATCACCCCTAATCTAAATCAATTTCACATGTTTAAAACGACATAAACTATTGAAATAATTTAGACCATGCTTAGACGATTCGAGTGCACAGTTTTCGCAGTAACATTTCGAGTTATGCCACGTTAAAGTGTAATATAGATCGTCTAAACATAGTTATAGAATTAAAGTGTGTATTATAGTTGAATAGACGAGTCCATAAAAGGTTGGTTGGCTGGAGAAACAATTATTTCATTACATGGTGAACTTGTGAATCAGGTCATCGTCCTGAACATGCACGTACCTCTGATGGAGTTGCAAATGTGAATGACATTTGTGAGGGCGCGAGAGCTTCTTCCGCATATCTCCTCACTGTCTGCACACCTGCAATGGGTCTGAAATAATTCAACGAACGAGGAAGTCTACTTAGAGTCCTGAGAAGAGACATTTTCGTGAACTACCGGTGTTTCTATTCAAAGATGGCTGCCAGAAGACCAATCCCACAATTCTCAGCAAGAATAGCAGTGCAGTATAAAGTGATCGCTGGTGGCGTTATTGTAACACCCGATCTTCACTTGGTTTGGGCAAATTTATTCCTGTCGAGGGGCAACTTTTAGGGATGGGGAGCCCTGATGGTTAAAATATAAATATGGAAAGGCTTTTCACTGACACTTACTGAGAGAAATACATTGTTATAATAAACCTGTGTTATCAGTGTAGGAAATTCCCCTGAATAAGCTCCAGATCAGAATGATGATCAATGACAACCCCAAGTTGCAGGTCCTAAATAAACTGCATTCCACCAGCGAATGTGTATCATGCATTATTTTGTATCGTCATGGTAACAGCATTGTACCACAACCAAACACATTTTAACGCTTTTTTTTTATACTGAGCATTTGCTATATCAGTATTCTTCTAATATATATTGCATTCAGATAATGTTAATTATAGATGAGAAGAAGCAGGCCAACCAGCAAAGCAGAACGACTTTTTCCGAAGTTGTTCTTTGGAGAAAAAAACAAACATTTGCCAATTTGTTATCCTGAGGGGGGGGCAGTTGATACATAGTTGGGGTGCCCCCGAGTGCTCAAAAGTGTGACCATTTTTATACCTGGATATATCCATATTTATACCAAAGTACCATTTCTGTAATTACTGTTTATTCCAAATAAAACAGTTACCATATTTGCTCTATTAGAAGAGCATCTCCAATAGAAGCTCATGTAAGCCAACAGTTGCATTGTATATTCAAAGTTGATTTATTAAAATATGTATTTTGACCATAGAAACACCTCTGTCATTTACAACGAACCCATAAGTATACCAAATCTGAAAAATATTACCAATATTTATACCTATTTTGACCAAAAACAAGGCCGATACTTATACCTAAAATCCAAAAAACGAGACCCATTTCAGGGGCTCGTCCCCATTAGGCAAGTTCTATGTATTGCCACACCCCCCCCCCATCCCCGGTTTGTTATTGATATTCAGTAAAAGTTCTTCGCAACCACTCGGAATGGCTATTCTTTGCAATCGGAGTTTCAACATACATGTATGCAGCAACATCTCACATAATTTTAACGAAATGTTAAATGGTCCATATAAAGTATTTATACGACTTTGTTCATTTTTTTCTTCTTTTTGATTTCGATTTTTGGGTTTATAGAGTTTCTGATATACCAACTTGTACCACTGCAAATGAGTGTTGAAATTAAAAATCAGAATATGCTAATTGTTTTTGTAAATTGTCTTTCTATGTTAAAGATCCTTTTGTCATTATATAATAACTGCAGATCCATGGCATGTTTTTCGTATATCCATCACGAATCAGTCAACGAGCCAATGTAAATTTTTCATGATTTGTTGTTTATCAGACATTCATAAGTCTAACGTCACCCTGACACGCATGTTCAGTCTCAGTTTGTGCGAGGTCCAAATAGTGGAAAAACTAAAATATTGAAGGACAAAAACCTCCTGATATGATAAGAGTTATATACTGATAGAGAACGTGATTTTACATTAATGCTATTCTGGCGTACTCAGTGGCAGCACATGTCTGTAAATCAATCCTTTGGTAAAGAACATAATGGTCTTATGTGATAGAGTTCAACAAATGTAGGAAAATGCAATTTAGTTTTTTAATAATTCTCTAGATATTCAACAGTATTTTAATTAGTATTAATTAATTAGTACATAACAAATCAAACAACGAAAAACAAACTCAAAAATTATTCAAAATAGTCTGCTATTACCGGTAAGTCTAGTCTTAATGAACTGAGCTATGGGAAGTGACGTTTATTGCTCATAGTGGGAATAATTTATCACTCTCACTACTGGTCTCAAAATTATGAATTTCTGCTTCGTCATATAAATGCAGTCTGTATGCCCAGTGTGGTGGGCAATTTATTTGTATTCATGTTTTTTTTATCTTCAACTGATATTCATTATAATGTGCTTCACTGTAACTAAGTACAACACTCAACAGTTGAATAGCCTGGGACTGAACTTGTTTATAACAATCAGAGGAATCAACATCTCGTTCTCATGGAAACTTGTCTAATTTCAAACTTTGTCGTTATTTTTCACACAAGGCTCTCTCAATTCACATACAATAATAAAAACTCTCTTAACATATTCATACTAGTTCATGGTACTTTTCCTTTAAGCTTTATACAGTACAATCCAGCAATGACTTGAATTAACAAAAACTAGAACAAAAATGCTTTATTCAATCAACTTTATTGTCAACATCAAATGACATTTGAAATGAACAAAGTTATTTTTTTTTAGTTCTTCATTATAATTAAAAATAACTTGGGACAGAGGAATTGTATAATAATTGATACTAAAGAAATGAACACAGACTCAAACATTCATCAACACGATAGCATTGTGAATGTGGCGCATTAGAATAGCGGATGGATATCAAAATCTTGAGTGAACAGATAACAAAACAAAGCACACCATAGTACGACCAGTTCTTGAACACCAATCTTTCATTTGAGCTTTGAGAATAATGTTTTTGCTACCTGTAACATGAGAAAATGACAAGAAAAGAATATTACACAATGCATTGTTTGAATTTTTCGAAAAATAGTTAATTAGCAAGCCTTGCCTTTTGAAAATGGCTGGAGAGTGAAAAATAACTCTTCTAAAAATACCCAAAAAAGTTATGTGTTGATAAATAATTTTGCATTTGTAAATCTAAAAAAAAAAAAATTAGGCAAGTTTTTTTTAATCTCCCCTGGGCGAAATTTTGTACAGCGAATCGCTCACCATAAAAAAGGAAAGGTCTGCATTAGCTCTCAATTCTATTTTTGCGTTTTGGAAACAATACACAGATGACTCGTTTAGCCCACAGTTAGTACATTTTTGTGAGTACCAGTAGTAATATGATAAAAATGCCTGGGTTATATCAAGTCTACTTTGTTGAAACCCAATTTGTAAGATGTCTATTAATGTGGTGTCAAATAGATTAAGTAAACTCCTCAGAACCACCACATTTTGGAAGGACCATCAAAAATCTGGATGTACAGACTAGCTTTTTTTGCTAAATGTAAACCTTGCTAGATGGATGCAAACTTTTGTAAAATCCACACCAAAAGCTCAGAAGTATACAGAGTATACAATTTTTTTTGGTTCCAAGCTTGCTTTCTTTCTTTTCTTTTTATAGTGAAATCTGTTTAAATTGAACAAAGTGCAAAAGAAAATGTTTTTCACGAATTGAGTGGTCTTATACATACACAATGATCTGTACAGTGGAAAAAATCGTATAATTCCTGAGTACATGTCTCCTCTGTGTTGCTACGGCTATTCACTCTTTCATTGCAAACTTCTAATTCAGTCTTCAATTTCTGACATTCTGATAATGAACTGCACTCCTCCCTTTTAACATCAATTGGATCCTACAGGAGGTTAGAAATGATGACTGTTAAACAAAAAAGCTATTTTTATACTAAACTGAACAACATAATTAAGGCTTAAAAGAAAAGATTTGTTTGTGGTTCAGACATTTTTAAAAAGTGAAGTGGTGGTTTTGTCATTTTTCCTTCCATTTTTTTAAAGTTTGCTTTGTGCAAGATTCCATCAAATTCCCTAGTAATTTATCTTTGGAACTTTTTTTTAAATTAAAAGGAAAGATATCAGGAGAAGTAAAACAATGTTATTATTTGTTTGTGGAGGTGGTTGATATGATTGAAGTCAGGGGCGTGTATTACGCATGAAATGAATATGTATGGATAATATACAGTCCATGATGCCACAAGTATACACCAACTTTGAATCAGTGATATTACGGGATAACCTTTTTATCACATGACCAACTCGTGTGTCAAAATGACAGCAAAATTGTCCAAGTTTTTTTTAAATCTGAAAAATAACATACTGTTCAATTGTACAAAAACTTATGACCTCTATCATACATATCGCTACATTCAGTGTGAAATACAAGTGATATTTCACATTAATTGTCACTACTGTGAATGATAAGCACTGTGATTATGTGATAATTTCATACATATCGCTACATTCAGTGTGAAATACAAGTGATATTTCACATTAATTGTCACTACTGTGAATGATAAGCACTGTGATTATGTGATAATTTCATACATATCGCTACATTCAGTATGAAATACAAGTGATATTTCACATTAATTGTCACTACTGTGAATGATAAGCACTGTGATTATGTGATAATTTCATATATATCGCTACATTCAGTGTGAAATACAAGTGATATTTCACATTGTCACTACTGTGAATGATAAGCACTGTGATTATGTGATAATTTCATACATATCGCTACATTCAGTGTGAAATACAAGTGATATTTCACATTAATTGTCACTACTGTGAATGATAAGCACTGTGGTTATGTGATAATTTCATATAGTGTGGGGGATACATGATGTAGAATAAAAGCAGATAGTCGATGGCTGAAATCTTTTAAATTGAGTAAACTTTTCAAGGTATTTTATAATTAATATATTATACTGTATAATACCTCATATAAGCGCCACCCTAGATTAGGCACCAGTACAATAGAAAAGGTGAAAATTTTCACACCAATTAGGCGCCAGTCAAAGTTGAATGTGTAAAACAGTAAATTCCCCATCTGGCCGACGTCCGCCTAAAACTTGAGCTAATCTTTTTTTTCCCACAACACATGCACAAAACTAACAATACACCGTACAATCTCTTGAATAGACGTCAGAGAAGAGTAAAATGCCTTACTTTGGTTCTAAAATAGGCGTTACGAAATGTTGACAAATTACGGTCAATCAAAAAAAAACTGTTCACATGATAAAAAAAATACTCAGTATATTTAATGTAATATGCATTTATTTTTTTAATTTTCTTGGTAACGAAAAGTATATTCTAAAAGAAGTTTTAAATAAAAACAAACACGAATGCACTGCTTAGTAGCAAATGATCACTGTACGGTAGCGCAATCTGGCCATGCTGCGGTTCACAAGTGAATAACTTACTTGTTTTCAAAGTGTTAAAATTGGTGATTATTATTCAGTGGTGATTATAGTAACGCACGAAAAATAAATCCGTTGAAATTTTATGAAATGCAAGTAAAATTCAACTTAGTTTCAACGTAAGCGAATGATTTCAGTCACATGTAAACGGCCGATACGAAACGATATCCGCCATGTCTTTGAATGCACACGAGACTTGTTTATTAACCGGATAGGTGAACCGCTAATTAACCAATCAAAATGCTGGATGGTGCCCACGTGTCTGAATTACCATGGCTCATTTAATATGTTAATGAACAGTTCAGCGACCTCATGGTAAAGGCAACGCGGAAGAGATTTACCGATAATGTAGTGCGATCGTTTGGCTTCGATTTCCATGGGAAAACTGCATGATTTTTTTTTAAAATCAAGAAATTATTTGTTTTGGAAAGATAAACTGAGCATTTGAAGAATAATTTAACATTGTTTACAGTGATAACAGCTCATTGTCGAAACGAAGCTTACCCATTCACGTTAGTCACAATAAAAATCATTCTCTTGAATAGGTTTCCAGAATTATTTAAATGTCCGGAAACAGAAGCCGAAATATTTAAAAAAAAAAAACGCGATTTCTTGGTCTCATTTTATTTTAAAAACCAAACTGCCGTTTAACGGTCAAGGGCGAATTTACGGCAGAATATGGTACATTGTATAGACAGGATTCCTCTGATTGTAAGGTAACGTTACAGTAGTTCTGAGTGTGTGAAAAAATTACTGACCTCAATTAAGCGCCATTTGCAACAAAGTTGCCAAAATGTGACCTCAAATTAGCGCCAGCCAGAAATGAAAATGTATCAAAGTGGCGCTTATACGAGGTATTTTACGGTATGTACATGTATGTATGCATCAACTGTTTGTTGAGGGTTTACTAAGAGTACCAGTAAGACCAAAAAAAACAAAACAAAAACACTTCAACTGACAAATTTATCACTGGATACAGCCTAAAAACATCATCGACAACAAACGTAGCAGGCAATATGTTTTTCACAGCAATTAAATACATACTGGTATGTCTTCCTCGTCCTCATCATCCTCTTCTTCCTCCTCCTAGAAAAAACATGGTGTTAACATCGTTATAAAAATGATGATGGAATAAAGCCAAGTTTATACAGGTGCAGCAATTCAGCTGCTATGCGTCCGCATCTGCGATTTGCTGGTATTTGTTCAATATGTCCTAATTTTGTTCTTTTGTTCAGACAAAGGGCCTAAGTGTTTTTATCAAATTAACCATTTACACCCAAAATATGACAAATAATTAGAAATGTTCCATGACATGAAATGTTCTATTATTACAAAATGTCCTAAGCTGATTTTAAGACAACTGAACCCCTGCATGATGTGCAAAATCTTTTTATAAGTCTTGTGTACTACCAAGGTAAAGTTATTATAGAGGACATTGAATTACTTGCATTCAGTCTTTTTAGAACTTTTTTATAAAAAGGTGTAATCTGAGTGGGATAAGAAGGCTTGGGTTGGGAAAAACAAAATATTCATATGTTTTTATAATTAAGATATTTCCTTGTTCACAAAATACATTGCATCAAAACATTCTAGTTACCAGTAACTACATACATGTAAAAGACAAGTGCAAAGAAGCTTAATTTTTTCATTTAATCATAATGATATAAGTTAGTAGTTAGGAATAGATTTTCTATCATCAATAAAATGACATATATTGATAATTGTTAATAACATTGATATTGATATATCTGCAACTGGAAAGACTTTTCAATGTTGATAATATACTGTGGAATACTTTATTTTCGCTGGAATTAATTTTCGCTGAAAAGGCTTTTTGGGCGTTTTGTATGGAACTTATTTTCACTGATTTTTGATGAATTTAATGTGAAATATAGGAAAAAAAGTATATTCGCTGGATTTTATTTTCACGGAATCATCCATTCAGCGAAAATAGCGAAAATAAATTCCAAGCGAAAATAAAGTATTCTACAATATTATAATATATTGATAATTGTTAATAACATTGATATTGATATATCTGCAACTGGAAAGACTTTTCAATGTACACCCACCTAGAATTCTAAGTTTAACCTGACCCCTACTATCTATTGCCCTTCAAATTAATTGCATATAACCCTCTTGAGAACACCTATAGTTATCTAGAGGGCATGGAGGATTAGAGGTATGTCAAGGGGTGGGAGGGGGGTTACTTTGGAAAGCCTTTCTACCTTCAATGTCAACATGAAATATTAAGTGGAATGAAGTGGTAGAATTTATCAGATCAATTCACAAAGAAATGATAGAATGACCTGGGAAAATAAAACTGGATACAACTACGGTAGTTGTCTAATTTAGGTGGCCTTGGCCAAATTGGTAAATCCAACTAGGTTACTAGGGATAGTAGTAGTACCGGTATTATTATTTCAAGCCAGTAACATTGTCAAGTTCAATTTAGTATTTAATAGCCCCCCCCCCCCCCTCATACTGTTCATGAAGTTGGAACACCAGGGCCCCAATCACACCAGAATATTTGTTATACACATCATGTGTATATATCATGAACAGTATCAAGGATTTATATATATAAAGCATAGAAAAACTGCCATTAATTTAAGCAAAGACACCGGAGAACGCACTGTATATACATGGTCACCTCCATGCGACACCGGTCTATGCATGGACGTACTCCATGGTCTATGTCACCTGTGTTTTGAAATATTGCGAAAATAGCGTGACTGTTACAATATTTGTTGACATATGAAAAAAACTTAGCAAAACTGTGACGAAATAACAAAAATAACTGGGACATAATTATAAATATTACCTCAGGAGGGTCATTTTCTATGTGCTTTTCGTCACCAAACGCCATTGCTGAGTTGTGCACGTATTCTGGTGTCCCGGATGTTGATTGACCTCAGGATTGTTAGTAAGAGGTTTACGGATTGGCCAGATTTTCAGAAAGGATTTTTTTTATTGCAACTTCGTACCAATCACATTATGTGTTTCTTAGCAGATTATCCAATAATATATCCGGTTGAGAGGTTACATTTGTTGAACACCGGAACGCGGAAGTGAATGAGTGGCGTGTGTCGCATCTGTTTATTATTTTTTGTTGATTCATTTGAAACAGAAATATTGAGTTGTTCGACCGCTAGCAAAACTTTGTCATACGGGTTATTTCGATGGTATATTTGAAGATACTGGACGATTTTATTTAAGGTAGATTTTTAAATTGTTTTAAAATGATAGTTATAGAATTTCCTAGTTTGTGCTATTTTATAACGTTGAATATACATGTATAACAACGCATGTATATCTTGTCATGGAGGTAAGCATGTAATGAGTGGGAATAGCGTCTTATATACTAGTAGATCTGTAGCAGTCTGCTCCGACACGACAGGACACCCACATCATTGCAAACTTGAAGTATGCAACTTTGAACGAATTGTAATAAATACGACAGAAAAAGATCACAATAAACTCGTTGGGGCGGGACAAATTTGAATGTAAACAATTTGCATAGTCGGTAATAGAACAAAAACTTCTGGGAAAAGAAAATTCTAAATTATGTGCAACCGAGTAAAGGTCAAATATATCTCTGAACGGAGTGTATCTCCTTTCAGAAACAATTATATATTCCTTACAACCACAGGGAGCCCAGGAACTATAATCAACTGTAATACGCAGTCTCTATGAGCGGGG